AAATCTATCGATTAGATTTATGATTAGAAAATTATAAAAGTAGGGTAGACATGTGGAGATTACCCGGCTGAACAAAACGTGATCCGTGTGTGTCAACCACAGACCTTATTTCAAGCTATTTTCCAAAATCCTATGGAGAAATTGCATTGCATTTTTGTCGAAGGAACCGGAAGAAGTTTACTTCCGGGTTTTAGGACGCGTCACTGCGGCACTCTATGTGTACGTTTTTGTGGCATATAAAACAAGCTGAAATTCCACAATATACTCCATATCCATTGGGTGGAATAAAATATATTTAAAATACAATGCAATCTGTCTTGGTTAAAGCTGGCTACACACCAACCCGATTTTGGGAGTCAGAGGCCGTCAGAGGCAGTCGGGCATTCGCGGCGCGCTACTCAGGTTGGTGTGTCCCGCACCGTCGTCTCTTTACGGCACCTTTTCACACCTCCCGCGGGAGGTTAGAGAAAGTCGGCCCAAGCAATCACTCTGATTGGCTGTTCACACTACCGCTGCCTGCTGGTAAGGACAGTTATTGCCACTCGTCGACTGAAGTATTTGCGGTGTGTTCGTAGGCGGGCGGCGTAGGCGGGCGGCGTAGGTGGGCGGCGTAGCCGACGCAGGCGACGTAGCTCACGTAAAAGTCGGGACGCCTTCGGTACGCGTTCTTTGGTCTCAGGTGGGTGTGTAGCGGCCTTTAAAAATATCCCAGTAATGGTAGTTGGTAGGCTGTACGAGACAGGCAATGACTGTTACATGCACTCTTTTCAGGAAATAAATCAGTTGTTTATGCTGGTTTTAAAAAGTAAAACTTTAGGGCTCGAGCCCAAACGGCTTATAGTAAGACTACACAAAAACAGCCCAATAATGTGCCCTCGGAAGCAGTTACTCATCGTAAGGTGGATCGTGAAGTGATGCAGCATTTCTATGTTTCATGATTTAAAGTTTCTTTCTGCTGTAAAGTTGGGCAATTTTATATTGGAGTCTATGGAGATTGACATCCGGAAAACCACTTGAGGCTTGAGTCGCAACATGGCAACTAGCTAGGAACTCTCTTATGCTGTGTTCACACCGGACGCGATGCGACGTTTGGGGGCGGCGCGATTACATGTAAAGTCAATGCAGAGACGTGGACAGACGCGAATTCGCTCCGACGGCGTGCATGAAGCGGTGGACGCGGCGCGAATCACACGATTGAGGCGATTGAACGGTGCCGCATTAAACGCGAGAGTTCAATTTTTTCAACTCGAGCGTCAAATTCACATGACGCGTTCTCGCGGAAGCCAATCAGCGGTGAGGATCTCAGCCGCCGTCACTGACGTTCAACCACACAACATCAGCCGTTAGCTGTTAGCAGTTAGCACACAGAGCTCACAGCTCCTCATATCCGTTCAGAAACTGGACAAAAGTTAAACAAGTACAAACCACAGACTGTCTGTGTCATGGTGAATACAGTCGCTGCTTATTTATGTCTGTAGGCCGTTGTTATGAGTGTGGAATGAGCATATACAACGTTAGCTTAGCCTGGTTGACCCGATCTTCATTCAGAAAACAAGCATTTTAAAAGGTGTTTTGCCTGCCGTCTTGTCTGCAGACTTGTCAAAGCATTAATTCATGGTTGTTACTAACCGGTATCAGTATGTTGTTACTTCGGCATCATTTAGAAACGTGTATTACAATTTAATCACGGTAAAATATGTTCATTTGTTGTAGTTGTAGCTCCCGAGCCACCGCGTCTTGTTTGAATGATGCGAGTAAACACAGCTGGCAGCCGCGGTGAACCTCCAGCGTTTAGAGCGATGCGATAGGAGCGATTAGAGCGAAGCGAATAGTCGCATCGCGTCCGGTGTGAACGCAGCATTACATCCTTCAGAACTTAAAGTGGACCTATCATGCTATGTTATAATAATATAGTGTCGGACCATACCTATATAAGGCATATTTATACTTTTTTTTTTTCAAAATACCAAACAGATCATGCATTTTAGCCATGCCTCATTTCGCTCAATTTGCACTTTTTTACCCCTGTTTTTGCAAGGGCTGATTCTGTGAGAACAGCACCACCTACAGGCCTGGCATATGTACTACAGCGTCTCCAGCGCTTTCGAACGGCAATGGCCGTGGCTGTCTCCTCCTGATTGGTGGAGTTGGCCCAATAGCCGTAGCGCCACTGTCCTGACGTCAGGACAGTGTTCAAATCTGGATCAGTCTGTATCAGATCCGTTGCAGCCCCTTTTTTAGAGATTTGGGTATGGAGGAAAATAGAGAGGGTTGTGTTTTCTGACACTTGGTGAGATCCCTGGAACACCGGGGACACATATTCATGTATAAAAGACGTACAAAAGTGCATTTTGCATGATAGGTCCCCTTTAAGTTTTCTGCTTGATTTGCGCAGGAAGTCTATATTACACATTAGCCGCGTTCACACCGCAGTACTTTTCCCACTTTAGTTCCGATATAGTTCCGAAATGTCGTGTTCACACCAAAAAGAGCCGGAACTAAAATGAGTTAATCAGAACCTTTTTTACCCCCTATTCTGTCCCTGCTAGAGAGCAGGTACTTTCGTGGGAGAAAAAGGTTCCTATGTCTGATTGGCTGGGCGGAATGCAAACCACGCCCCGTAAAACTCCCAAAAAGTTTTGTGAAGCCGCCATTTTATTATCCTCGCATTAGCATTATTAGCATTATCATTAGCCCAGCGCACAAACGCAGAGAGACTAACTTATGGCAACACAAAAGAAAACATGGGAGCGGTGGAGATGAGGAGGTGTCGGCGTTCTGGCGATTTACTCGGAAGGCTTCAGTAGAAGCTGCTGGGACTTCCGGCCGGGGACTTCGGGTGGCAGTATACGCCGTGAAGTTGTTTGCGGCCTGCCAGTAAACCCAAAGCAGAAGAAGAAGAAGTGACGTCAGCGGCTTCATTTGCCTAATCCTTCCCCAGGAACTTATTCCGGCGTGAATGCGATCTGTACTTAGTTCATGAGAACTAAAGAGTTCTCATGAACTAAGTTCTGATGAACCTTTGTGGGAAAAGTACTGCGGTGTGAATGCATTGGTGAAATAAGGTTCATTTTGGGTGAAAAGTTGCAATTGAAGTGGAAATTATGAGAAATTTAGAATCCAGTGTTTAAGAGCGGCCCGTCCTACTTTTTCTTCCTACTGTCTCTTGATAGTTGTTTAACTTTGTGGAAGTGCAGTTCGAATTTGTTGGACCACCCCTTTAAATCTGTGCTTAAACTGCTATGTAGCTGTAATGATGCCTTATCTGTGTGAGTAGCTACATGATGCAACTCATTGCAAGTCATATTTAGCTAGAAGCAAATGTGTTTTTTCCAGGGTTTCACAAAAATGTGAACTAATAAAATATCATACGGAAATAAAAACGGCAAGGATGACATTTTATTGTCACAAATAATTGTGGCCAAACAACATTTTCAGTAGGCGAGGAGAGACCACTGAATTTCTGTCAAATTGCAATGTTTGACACTGCTTCCCACAACGAATACAGAGCAAACCATGTCATCCAACAGTTCTGTAGCCGGTCCAATCAATGGAATTGCCTGCTGGCAAAACACAGCAGGACAGATGTGGGTGATGTGGCAGAGCTGCACTATAAAGAGCCAACGGGTGGGACATTTTTCTGGGATGTCAGGGAGGAAGTACAGTAAATATGGGAGGGATGTATTGGTTATTGGTCGGCAGCTGTGATGTGGTCCCTATCCCAAAAGATTAGTGTTGTGGCCACACACCACTTACTTTATATAATGTATAATCTAAATGCATCTGGATATACAGAGCAAGGGAGTATCACAGGGGAAATGTTGGCACTGCACACTCACATTTGGTTGCGTTTCCATTTATGTATCTGCTAATGACCCTTATATTATTCTAATTGTGTGAAGTTTACATGAATTGTATGCAGCCAATTGACCCACAAGTTCCAACAAAGGAACTAGCTTTTTCTACACACGTCACCCCTTCTGTTAATGAATATCCAGTAAAAGCTGTCAGATCAGCGTGTGTATGCCAGTGTGTGTGTGTGTGTGTGTGTGTGTGTGTGTGTGTGTGTGTGTGTGTGTGTGTGTGTGTGTGTGTGTGTGTGTGTGTGTGTGTGTGTGTATGCATGTATGCCAGTGTGTGTGTGTGTGTGTGTGTGTGTGTGCACGTGTGTGTGTGTGTGTGTGTGTGTGTGTGTGTGTGTGTGTGTGTGTGTGTGTGTGTGTGTGTGTGTGTGTGTGTGGGTTTGCATCTAGAGCTCCACCCAAGCCCGGAATGCCGCCTCAAATCATATGCGAGAAAATACGGGAGCCATCAGATGAATTAAAATCTGTTGCTCCTCCTCCTCCTCCTCCTTTTCCTCTCCCCCGACCCCCCTCCACGCGGGCTTACGCATCCTCGCCTCGGCCAATCAGCCAGCTGAGAGAGGAGAGCTGAGAGAGGAGAGCTGAGAGGAAGGGGGGTCGTTGGAGGAGAAGGGGGAGAGGGAGGGGCAGGACCAGCAGCCTGCGGGGCTGGCGACCCATCGTTCTTGTCACAGCTGGGAGGGGAGGGGAGGGATGGAGGGAGGAGGAGGAGGAGGAGGGGGGGGGGCTAGAGAGGGAGGAGGTAATCCAATGAGACACAGAGAGGAGAGGCAGTGTGAGGGCAACGCCTCACAGCACCGGGAATCTCTCTCTATCTCCATCTCTCCTTTTTCCCCCCCCTTACCTCTGTCTCTGAAGCGTAAAAACCAAAGGACTCTCATCTCCCATTCAGTCTCCTCTCTGTGTGGCTGAGGGCTTACTTTCACATTTTTGTAAGCCTCTCTTGCCTCTACAGATCAACAGTCTCCTTCATTTCTTCCTAATTGTGCTTCTCTACCTGCCAAAGGATGAATTCATGACCACAAACTGGGATTTTTATTGGTGTCTTTTCATGAGGCAGCATCTTTTCTTTTCTGGAAGTCATCTTTGTTCTCGTGCTCCCAGCTGCTGAGTGGCTGCTTGTGGGTAGTAGGTTAGTGTGTCTGTTTAATGCCAGGTGATTGAATGTGCTGTACGCGGAGGAACTAATATGAGAGGGATGCCTTCCTGGAGGTAGCGCTCTGTGATCCATTCAGGGAGAAGGGTTTTGGGGATGCTGTGGCTGAACTCCGACCTTTAGTGAAAGTGTCAGCGAAGAAATTCAGGACAAACAAAGAAAAAAGCAACAAATACGGACGTGTATTCCCCTACGTTTGTTGTCGCGGACCAACTGACCTAAGTGTCTGCTTTGTGTTGACACCATGGACATCAACCTTCAGTCGCAGCGGTTTTACTTCCCCCAGATCTACTGTGTGGAACCGGGGGCTCAGCCGCCTCAGATGCCTCAGCCGCCTCAGATGCCTCAGCTCACTGAGTTCAAAGTCAGGTAGGTTTCCAAGGGGAGGGAAAGGTGTTTACAATGGACCCATCAGTAGATAGTACTTATCCTAAATGATGGAATGACCTGGTGTTTCCATTTGCTTTTGTCAGATGTGTCAGATACACCCAAAATGTACCACCATGACTGTCTTTGCCTAACAGATCCCCAGCTGCTGCAGCATATGAAGCGTTTCTGTGTACGATGAGTGCTGCTGTGAGCCGCTGGTTGCCCTTGCAGGGGGATGGGGCTGCATGCTAATGTGTTAGCTAGCTGTGCAGAAAAGTGGCAGACTCCTGGGAGATGCAGAGGGCATTGATGGCCTATGGAGGAGCTTGCCAAGTTTGGACGGACAGGGGGACAGTGTTATATTTGCCTGGCCCATTTGGTTGCTGTAGTCTCTTGTTGCCTGCCTCTGTGGCTCTTTTGTTCTCCTCGTGTTTACACTGTCTCTTCCTTTTCCTGCTACTCTTCCTCTCCAATCAGCGCGGAAAGTGCTCAGGGTGGCTTGTTGCATCCACAGACCCCCGCTGCCGTCATGGTGTCAGAGCGCTCAAAGACGCATGCTCAGACATGCAACAGCTTCCCGGCTCTTTGTCTTCAATGTCTTGTTCAGATGTTATTGTGCCGGATGGCGCTGTTGCATTCAGGCATGCAAGAAGTCCCACCTGATGCTGTGTGACATCCACATAAGAAAATATTTGTATTCACTCCAATGAAGCACACATGCACAATTGCTTCAGCTTAATTGTAGCCATCTGTCCTAGTAAACATCACCGTCCATCCATTCATCTCTTGTGTTCATGGTTTGGCATGTTCTTGTAATGGTGTGCGCGATACGGTTGCGATGCTTCCCCTAACAGCTCTGATTAGTGCAGCTTTAAGGGACTCAGCCAGAGTTTTGCCCCACTAAGCAGCTTTTATTTTGGCAGGTGCTCCGGGCTGGAGCAGCTTTATAGAGCTCCAGCGTGTCAGTGTTGAGGCCTGGATGCTCCCCGGTGGCTCCACAGGAGTCTGAGGGCGTTAACTTCTGGGTGACATCACCGGGAGAAAGAGAGGGAAAGACAGTGGGGCTGTATCCGGTTTTCTTTTTTGTCTTAAACTGCTTTATTAGAGTTATCCTGGGGCTATATTTGGCTACCTTACCTGGTGTGAGTTAGCAGGTTATTACATTTTTCTTGCCAGAAGGGTTACTCAATAGCCTAATAAACTATTTAACACGTGCCATTTACTGTAATCACACTTCAGTGACCTTTTGTGTAATGTCCACGTCAGCAAACTTCAGGAAATGTCAGCAAATATCAGTGTTTGATGTGGCTGTGTGAACCGCAATCTTCAAAAAATAAACGAAAGTCTGGCACATTTCCGGCTGTGCCACACACCTCTCTTCTTCTTCACTGTAAGAGTAAGGGAGGCACACACACACACACACACACACACACACACACACACACACACACACACATACACATACACATACACATACACATACACACACACATACACACACACACACACACACACACACACACACACACACACACACACACACACACACACACACACACACACACACACACACACACACACCCTGTGTGCATTTGCAGGGATTAAAGAGGTTTAAAGTGTGATGTGTTATTACAAAACCAATCTCTTAAGCAATATTAATGTTTCACAAATCAGATTTTATGCAATGAATACGCACATAGAGAGGCATGGAGAGATATTACTCGAAATACATTTAAATAAACAGACTGCTGTATCTATTTCAGAGCAGATTAATAACTAGTAATATTTTCCCTGGCGGTTGGAGTGTGTTCAGCACACTGTAAACTGTAAATAGACACTACTGCATGACATCATCTACATATTATGACCAAGGTGAGCTCATTAGATCTGAGTAAAATGGAAGAAGAAGGAGAGAGATTGGAAATAGAAAAATGAGAAATCGAGAGAGACAGAGAGAGAGAGAAGAGGGAAATGAGAAACCAGGAGAGAGAAGGGGGGATGGTGAGAATAGCAATGCTAAGCAAAAGGAAGAGAGGTTGGATTGTAAATGTGAGAGGGAAACAGTGAGACGGATGGAGGTGAAAGAGAAAGGAAGCGTGTGGAGAAAAATAAACATTTGATGATGGTTTCTGGTGGGGTTTTGTTGTTGCACACGCCTTGGAAAAACCTTTGTAAGGTATGCTGGGATAATGTCTTCAGCCTGGGTGCCATGGTGACCGTTGTAGGCAAAGTATAGCAAGATAACCATGACAACCAGTGATGGCCAATCCATGGGCGCATACCGACAAGTATGCTACATGTATGCACAGAAATGCGGAGAGGCAGATAGGGAGACCTTCTGCTTCAATGCCTCTTCAAACATTGAAGCAGAAGCAGAAACCTACAGTAAGGTTCTCGCTCATGTGGTGTGTTTTATTATCTTTGTTAAAATTATTCTGAAGATCCTTTGCAGTGATGTGTATTTAAAAAGGTTAATAGGGTATTTCAAAATCTCAGTTTTGATGGAACCCCCTTATGTTAGCTACTTGCCAGTGAGCAAAGTGATCTTTTCTGTTAGCATAATGTCTCATTTGTGAAGACAAATACAAAAACTGATCAAATGTTAAAATGTTCTATCCTATCAAAATAAATGAAAAAAGCAGCACCTCTCCGAATGTTTATTTTTTATTTCAAGCCCTGCCGATAAAAAAAAAATGCTGCTAGCAATGCTACTTCTCTTAAGCTAGCTGTTACCTTTAGCCATTCCTCCATTGAGGTATGATATTCACCACACAATTATATACAATTCCCTTCTCATGGTGGAACTTCAGTTACAATAATAATACATCATTGAACTAGCATGATTTTGGATACTTTTAACTGCAAAAACATGATTAAAAAGCTATCAGCACACCAGGAGGCAAAAGCCAAAGATTCTTTCTGTTCACTGTCCTCAGGAGACAGAAAACCGCATTGGTCGTATGATGAAATATTTAAACTGAACCATGTCATTTTACTCTTCTGACATGGGCTATGTGTGGCCATGTGAATTATGACGTTTATGTCCTAGAAGCAAAAGGTAGAAGTAGCGTGATAGCTTGCCAGTCGCTCTCAGTTAACTATGCTATTCCCTTGACCTTGACCAAGTTGCCCTTTTTCTTATCCATTCATTTTCTTTTTACCCTAACTATAACGGTTGCATATCAGAACAATCATGATGAATAATTTGTGTAACAGCTATTTATAGTGGCTTTGGAAAGTATTTATGAATAACACATTACGACCTACAGTTTTTGAGTTTAGAAGTCTTCTGTCAGCCAGAGGCATGATTTCTCAAAGGGCATCCAACAACAGCAATAATTGTACTGGTCACTCTACGATAACTTACATCAACATGGCCCGTGCTTAATGTCTTCTTAAAATCAACATGTATTTCAATTCTCTCTACCCTGCCTGTAAAATTGGATTTTCGGTACTAGCTAAAAAGCTCACTCTCTTTTCTTCACCTTAAAATCCTTTGTACTTTTATCCAAGAGCTGCTGCAATGTACATTATTGTTGAAAGGATTAAGTCTTGGGATGATGAAGGGCTTTCTGTTTTTTGAGGATTCCCAAAGGAGACGAAATGTCTGTATTATATTCCCTCAGTGCGTATTATTCCTCTTGCCTGGCAGATTAGAGACGGAGTCCACCGCACATGTCAAACATAAGAAAGCCCTGTTGGAAATTTGTGAAATATTGTGGGTCACTGAATCCACTGACTGATGATTTGTGGCACAAATAGGAACCACATGTCCGCCATGACACTGTGTGTGTTTCATAAGAAGACGAGCTGCCTGTGAGTGTGTGGTATGCAGACCAAGTCCTACTGTATAGTCTGCAATTGAGAGCACTTAACCCAATGGCCTTCCGCTAACGCTCAACTGTAAAATTGTATACATGAAAACATGCCTGCGCTTTGTGAGGATGTGTTTGTGCCATCCTTATGTGTTTGTGTGTGAGGCTTCACAGTAAGTCACAGCAGTTAAATGGCATCATGGGGCAGAGAGAGTAAAGCCTCAGGGCATCTCAACTCCTTCTCTTCACTCTCACCTTCATCTGTATTTTCTTCCACGGATAAGAACGTGTTTCTTTTAGACAGTTTGAGTGTTAATGCTATGCTCTCAACTACTGCTTTCTCTCTGCTGGGATCTTTTCCCCCTCTGCCAAATGGAGACGCATGCATTTTTAAAAAGCCACCCCCTCCTCTCTGCTATGCTCCGTATCTTCTGAATATTTCTGCCTCCTCGACTTATCTTCCCACCTCTGTCTTAATTCGTCTTTCTCCCTTCATATTCTTCGCTCTTCAACTTGTCTCTCCAACCCGTGTTTTTTTCCTCTTTCTCGTTTTCGCTCTCAGCATGGGGTCTAAGCGCCTTTGCCCGACCATTTATTTGTCCGCTCAAGCCTGGGTTGAGTGGGAGAATGATTGACCTTCCTACACACATTCAGTCAACAAAGGTTCCTCTAGTGTATGTACAGTAGCACATTGCTGCAGCTGGAAGTAGACGAGGACGCCTGAGGCGCTAGACTGTATTAAACATTTTTGCAAATGCTCATTAAGCTGAGATCAAGATTCCCAAGAACAAAAGACTACACAGGAATGTCTGGCTCCTTGCTGGACCTGAAGCCTTAATGCCACACATAAAACACAAATGAAACGTTTTGAAAATAAAGACGACAAGATCGATACCACTCCTGAATGTTGCTGTAAAATATGAAACTAGCGCCATGAGACAGTTAGCTGCCTTAACCCAACTAACATGTAATATTGTAAACTTTTTAGGTGCGGGTAGGGGATCTGTTTTACCTTTAGACTGAGCCAGGCTAGGTTTTTTCCCCTTCCTAATCTCTGTGCTAAGCTAAACTAACAACTTCTGGCTATAACACAACAAGTGGTAGTATTGACCATTGACCACCACCCTAGTATTGTCTGCCCTTTGAAATTATCACGTTATCACTAGCATTCCAATGCTTGTTAAG